GAATCGACCCATGGACAGCCCTAATGTTCCTAAATAAGAAAAAGTTAAATGCAAATGGGAATTTGTCTTTTTATGAGACAAAACCTAGTGGCTGTCTGTTTGGTTGCACTCCACCATATTACAACCCACTACCCATTCACGTCCCCCTTTGGTGAGATCGACTCACGAGTATTCGATTAAAATCATTAATAATTTTTACAAAGATTCGAACTGTGCTTTCCGGTCGAGGAGCGCGTATTCAACGATCACTCCAAAGTCCAAACTGCAAACGTTAAAAACTCGAAAGAAAGAAACAAGTACACAAATTTTTTTTTATATATATATATAATTTTTTCTCAACTTTATTTTTCTCATTTTTTAAGGTTGTGATATACAATTAAGAACTTTAATTAAAGGGGAAAAGACAAGATTAGGGTTAGTGAGGGATGTCGTCATTACATAGTTTGAAACAATTATGGATGGATCAATCAAGAAATATTGTCTACCCACTTGTTAATATACTGTTAAAAGTGTAATTATTTATACGTCCTTCACGCGCATATTGATTTATTTTTTTATTGAAATTTAACACGAAATTTCTATGAAAAGATAATAGTACAACTTGCACGAAATTTCTATAAATAGATAATAGTGTAACTTGCAATTAAAGTATTTATTTACTTTTGGATCTTACTACATGTATATCAAGATTTACATAATAAATTACATAATACCACATGACACTATCATTTGCCAATTACCAGTTTAAAACGCAATCAACTTTTTCATCCAATCTTTTTCCTCCACATCATATTATGTAATCTATTATGCACATTAAAATCCTTTACTCTTTGTACAATATATTAAATCATTTTATTTAAAATGGGACAATATACAATTGACTTGAGCTTCATTAAATATGGACAATGGGTTTCGCATGAAAAAGCTTCAACGAGATGGTTCTATACACATGCAAAAATGTGATGGGACTGTCAACTTAAATCATGACATTTCAAATTTCGAATCACTCAAAATGCAACATGTGTTCGAGGTGGTAAGAGGTAAACAAAATGAATGTGCGATGTGAGGTGTGGTAATTGAGATGCTCGAGATTCGATGTGTTGTGATTTAAATGAAAGATCCTACCACGCGTGAATATGGTACTCCAAAAGCAAATTCTCTTTCGTGGCCTATTGTAACAAGAAATGAATTGGGTGGGCTCTACGAATCTTGATTATCAGTTGAATTATGCTACATAAATATCAAAGTTGACATAAGGTTTGACATAATATCACGTGATATTTTATCATTGAACAATTTAAAATACAATCAATTTTTTCATCAAATCATCTATTGTCACCTGAAATTATGTCAAATTACTTGGCAAAGTAACTTTATCCTTTTATAATACCTTTTTATCATTCTACATTTTCGTAAGGGCCAGTTTCCAATTGAAAAGTACCTTATATAGTTATATCAGAAGCTATTTTAATTCAACAAAACACGACTTTCGAAACTTTGGTCAATAAACCCGGCTCCTTACTTAGACCAAGTAAATTGAACTGACACAATTATGAGAATCTCATTTGTCACATGAGTTTTTCTATTAGGGTGGGTTTGATTGCAATGATGAAAAATACGTAGAAATAAAATGTTTTACAGGAAAAAAATTTGTTTAAAAAATATTTTGCAGAGAAAATGATTT